CTGCTTCTCCCTCTGACCTTCTCCCCTCTCATGCTGTTTCTCTCTCTCTCTCTCTCTCTCTCTCTCAAATAAATAAATAAAATCTTTAAAAAAAAAACAGAACACTGCCTGAAATGCAGGGAAACTAGTTAGGAAATTATAGTTGAGTGATAATCATATTAAGGGCTTTGCCTGTGTGGTTTCTAGCCCTCACGACCACGGTGCAGTAAAGAGCAGCCTTTCTGCATCCTCACCATCTGGCACGTCCTCCATCCGAATTGTGGAACCTCAGGTCAAGGTCGGGAACTGTGGCCCCCCTTTATGGATATTAGCACAGCTTCGGTTTTCTCTACCCTTAAAACCAGGCTCACCGAAGCCTGCCTGTGGCAGGAAGCAAACTAGATCAGGGTGCTAAAGCTTTCGGAGCAGGCACACAGGTGCTCACCGGCGCCCTGGAGAGTGGTCGTTCCGTGGGCTCCTAAGCTCCCCTCTTGGAACTGCATCTAATCTCCGCGCTGCACTGCTCGGCCCCAGCCGCCCCCTGCAACCCGCCTACCTCCTTCGATAGATTCTTCCACGATGCCTCGCCCGGGGGACCTCGTCCGGGGACCTCCATCGTCCCACAGGGTACCGCCCGAGGCACGCCCCGGCTTTTTATAGGCAGCGGCCGGGGCGGGGCCAGTCGTCCTGGTGACGCAAGCGGGCCGGTCCCTGGGTCCGCCCACTAGGGGCGGGCTGCGGCCAAATCTCCCGCCAGTCCGCGGCCGCGCGCTGATTGGCTCCGGGACGCCAGCGCCGGCTTCCGATTGGTCAGTGCGCTGGGTATAAATGCGGACCGCGCGGGAACCGGCGCCTGGTGGCTGGGCGGTGGCACCGGAGAGTCCCTGAGGTGCAAGCTTCCTGGAGGCGCCATGAGCTGCATCAACCTGCCCAACGTGCTGCCCGGCTCCCCCAGCAAGACCCGGGGGCAGATTCAGGTGCCGGCGCGGGGACTGGCTTCCAGCCCTCGGGAGTGGGAGTGGGAGCGGGAGCGGGGTCGGGGTTGTGGTTGGGGCCATGGCCGGGTGTTCGTGCGCAGCGGGCCCCGAAGTGACCTCGCCTTCTCTCCTAGGTGATTCTAGGACCCATGTTCTCAGGAAAAAGGTAAGTAAGTCATGGCCTCGCGGGGCCCACCTCCTCCCCCATCCCACCCTCCGGGGGGCCCCTCCTCCTCCCCTGGCGCCCCGCCTGCCGCCCCTCTCAGACAGCACCTCCAGGACAGCCCCCACTGCCGGACGGCGTGTTCCCGCCCGGGATGCCGCTCCTGCCTGGGATCTGGTCCTGGAGCAGGCGCTCCTTCACTGCCCGCCCAGCTCAGACCCTTCCATTAGGGTCGTTCGCCACCGCTCCTTCCTGCGGCTGGATACGGCTGCTGAGGGTTTAGCTTGTCACTAAAGCCTGTGCACCCTACAGTGTGGGCATCCCTCCTTCCGGTGTGGTTGTTTCCTCTGGTACTTTACACACTAAGGAGTCAGACCAGGGCACCCTTTGCTCCCCTGATGTGACAGGACCATCATCTGACCTGGGCAGGGCTGGTGAGCCCCCTAAGTAACGCCCTCCGCCCTGGGGGATCACTCCAGTGCAAACCTGTTGCCCTCCGTGGTGAGGCTAATAAGGTGGGCTCTGAGACCCAGAGGCAAAGTGCTTTTTCTCTTGCACAAAAAGGTTTAGTGAAGTCAATTTAGACTATGTGAGGGCCTCTGGGATGAGACTACTTTTTTTTTTTTTTAAAGATTTTATTTATTTATTTGAGAGAGAGAGAGAGAGAAAGCACATGAGATGGGGGGAGGGTCAGAGGCAGAAACAGACTCCCTGCCGAGCAGGGAGCCTGATGCGCGACTTGATCCAGGGACTCCAGGATCATGACCTGAGCCGAAGGCAGTCACTTAACCACCTGAGCCACCCAGGCGCCCGGGATGAGACTACTTTGGAATGCCATCTGGGGCCTTTGCCTCTGCCCACCCCACCAGATCCCTGCGATACTTATTCCTTCATCCCATCCCTGGACCACCTGGGGGTCATTCCTTGCTGCCCTCCCCAAGGAGAACACTTCCCGGCCCAGCACACCTTTATCACTCCGTTATTCCCAGGCTCTCTAGTGACTTAAAGCTCTCGTTGGCATCCCTCTCAGGCCTAGGCTGAACTCCCAGAGCATGGGCCCTCTGTCCTCGCTGGTCTTTCTGTCCATTGGTGGGTCTCAGGCTGTAGACCCCTAGAAGGTGGTGGGGTGCCCTGCTTGTGCCGAGGGGGTCTTCCTTGCCCACTCTTTACACCGTGGGCCTCACGAAGTACTCTGCTCTTGCAGTACTGAGCTGATGAGACGGGTCCGTCGCTTCCAGATTGCCCAGTACAAGTGCTTGGTGATCAAGTATGCCAAAGATACTCGGTACAGCAGCAGCTTCTCCACGCATGACCGGTGAGTCCCTGCTCTCTTCTGTCCTGTCACAAGACCTCTCCTGGAAACCTGGTGAAAATTCCCAAGGGCCTAGAACATACTGTAAGAGCTGTCTTTAGCAGGAATGGTTAGTGATGCCGATGCCCAGGGCACCTGGGTGGCTCAGTCGTTAAGCGTCTGCCTTCGGCTCAGGTCATGATCCCAGGGTCCTGGGATCGAGACCCGCCTCGGGCTCCCTGCTCGGCGGGAAGCCTGCTTCTCCCTCTCCCACTCCTCCTGCTTGTGTTCCCTCTCTTGCTGTGTGTCTCTCTCTCAAATAAATAAAATATTAAAAAAAAATGCTGATGCCTGACACTGAAATATTGGAACTCAGCAAACTTTCAAAGTTGCTTGGCAAGGGATCTTAGGACTCGGCCTTTCACAGAATTCTAGCTCAGTGTTCTTAACCAGGGGCAATTTCACGCCCCCTCCCCCAGAGTGCATTTGGCAATGTCTGGGGACATTTTTTGTTCTCACAACTGGAGTGGGGGAGGGGCATTGGGCTGCTGCTGAACATCCCACAATGCACAGGACAGCCCCATGACCAATAGCGATACTGCCCCAGTTGTCAGCAGTGCTGTGCTTACATCCATGTGGTTGCAGACTGGTTTTATGTTTATCTGCCTGCCCCTTGCGGACATTTCCCTTTGCCATCTGAGGTGGGGAGGGAGGCTTAAATTTAGTTTGCCTCTTCCCTGTTCCCTGGCTACAGATTGGGGCCTGAGATTTCTGAGCCTGGGACATGATCTCTGTCCTTGGGACTTGTCCACCTGAGCCCACAGCGGCAAAGCCATGCTGTGCATGGAGCCTCGGAACCTCAGAACGGCCCAGTGTGTGGCCTCGGGCTGGGAGCATGGGGTTTCTGAAGCCAGGCGGGTGGTGGGGTGGACAGTGCCTGGGACTCGGAGCTAAGCGTCAGGATTTGAGTGACGGGTGCTTCCGGCCGTGCTGTCTGATGCTGGTCATTTATGTGGTCCAGTTTGCTTCTCCCCAGAAACATGGTGTCTGCCTCTGCTGCTGCACTGCGTGGGGGTGCATCCAGGGAGGACAGTGAGAGCAGAAGAGGCAGCACCGTGCCGGGAGGAGAAGTCAGGAGGGCAGGGGCCCATCTGAGCTCTGCCCAGCGCGGCACAGATGCTCTCCCAACTCGGGCTACGGAGCCTGGGACGGACCGCGGCTGTGACTGAGCCCTTGGCGGGAGCGACAGGGCTCCAGAGACACTGCCCTTGCCCACCCTGTGGTTTTCTCTATTTCGGGAGGGAAGGGGGAATTTAAAATTCAGGCAATACCATCTCATGCTCTTCCCAGATCTTTGAGTAGAATTATAGCAAGATAATAACTGTGCAGGGGTTGTAAAGTATTTTATTTTTCTAAATACAGCTACAGGGGGCGCCTGGGCGGCTCAGTCGTTAAGCGTCTGCCTTCGGCTCAGGTCATGATCCCAGGGTCCTGGATCGAGCCCCGCGTCAGGCTCCTTGCTCAGTGGGGAGTCTGCTTCTCTGTCTTGCACTCCCCCTGCTTGTGTTCTCTCTCTCTCTCTCTCTCTCTCTCTCTCTGACAAAGTCTTTAAAAAAACAAAACAAAACAGCTACAGGCTGTTGAGCCTTCAGAAAGTCCCAGCCCCCGGGGGCACGTGGGGGCTCAGTTGGTGAAGCCTCTGCCTTCGGCTCAGGTCATGATCCCAGGGTCCTGGGGAGCAGGGAGTCTGCTTCTCCCTCTGCCCCTCCCCCCCAATCGTGTGCTCCCTCTTTCAAATAAATAAATAAAATCTTAAAAAAAAAAAAAAAAGGAAGTATACCAGCCCCTCAGAAGGCTAGTTGAGGAGTGGGAAAAATGAACACAGAAAAAAGAACACATTGTAGAAAAACAGACCCTGCTTAAAAAGACAGAGGACAGAGAAGAGGATCCCTCTTCAGAAATGGCCCTGGGTCTGGGGGCAGGTTGGGGTGGAAGCTTCCCACACACGCCTTTGGCATTCAAACTCTTCTGGATATGATTCTCCCCATTGGGCACACAGGGCAACAGTATGACCTTAGATTTGAGTCTTGGCTCTGCCAGTTAATAGCTCTGTGATCGGGGCGAAATCCTTCGATCAGCCAGACGAGCCAAATGGATTGGTTCTTCTCTGGCCCTGTTGGCTGGAGTCCCAGGCTTATCTCTGCTGGGACACACAGGGCTGAGTCTGGTGCTCATGCGCTGCCCAGGACCATGGTGGACTTTCCGGGGCACTTTTGCTTTGCGTGGGCCCTTTTCTCCATAAAAAGAAAGAAGTAAAAAATTATATTTTATGACGGCATTGATAGAAAGACAGCTAGAATGCAGCCTGAGTTGTAGTTATGTGTGTTCTTTTTCTCATTTTAAAAAGAAATTAAAGCATTTCTCCTGCCCTGGCCCACACTGAACAGAAGTGGAGCCTTTGAGTCTCCGTTAAGCTTTGTATCACGCATTGCCAATTTCTAGTCTAGCACATCAAGGGAAATAACTTGTGTTGAATGACTGTTTTTCTGAACATGGGCCTTTATTCTCCCCAAATGCATCCCACAGGCACTAACTTCAAGCTCCAGCCCAGCAGTGCAGTGTGCTTTGAGGGTAGGGTTGTCACAGGAGCTGGCCCCTGGCCCCTGCGTCCAGGTTTCCGCTCCCTTGCCTTGTTCATGCACTGGATTTCTCTCCCCAGGAACACCATGGAGGCACTACCAGCCTGCCTGCTCCGGGATGTGGCCCAGGAGGCCCTGGGTGTGGCTGTCATAGGCATCGACGAAGGGCAGTTTGTAAGTTGGCTTGTCCTGGCATTCTGCCTACGAACTCCCAGTCTGTGCTCCTTTCTCCTCTGCTGGTTTGGAAGGTATTTTGTTCTATCTCTGATCTTTTAGTAACCGACGTTAACTTGCTCCAACTGGTGTCTGAATACCCTTTGGATTCCCTGTACTGCTTTCCATGTTTTTTTTTAAGATTTTATTTTATTTTATTTTTTTTAAGATTTTATTTATTTCACAGAGAGACACAGCGAGGGAGGGAACACAAGCAGAGTGAGTGGGAGAGGGAGAAGCAGGCTCCCCGCTGAGCGGGGAGCCCAAGGCGGGGCTCCATCCCAGGACCCCGGGATCATGACCTGAGCCAAAGGCAGATGCTTAATGACTGAGCCCCCCAGGCGCCTCTGCTTTTCATGTTTTAAGGGATTTATTTTACCTTCTTAAAAAAACATATATAATAAAAAAGGCGGGGGGGTCGGGGTGCCTGGGTGGCTTAAAATTTGAGCCTCTGACTCTTGATTTTGGCTCAGGCCATGATCTCAGGGTTATGAGATCGAGCCCGATGTTGGGCTGTGCTGAGTGTGGAGACTGCTTAAGATTCTTTCCCTCTCTTCCGCCCCTAAGGGGGGTTAAAAAAAATATATATATATATATATATTTACAGTGAACAACAACAACAAAAAAAATTAAGTTTCTTGGGGTGCCTGGCCGGCTCGGTCTGTAGAGCATATGATTCCTGATCTCGGGGTCATGAATTCAAGTCAGTTTCTCAATGCTGGTATGTAAGCAATGTTCTGTTTGCCTCACTGTTGCTTCTGCCTTGTTCGTTATGGATTTGTTTCTCCTCTTGCAAAGTACATCCTTTAGTAGTTCTTACAGCTCAGGACGTTTTGGTGGGAAGCTTTCTGAGTCTTGGTAGGAAAATGTCTTTATTTTGTTCTGTATGTTAAGCAGAGTGGCAGAAGGGGTAGCTTGATGATGGTTTTTCCCTGTGGCTTTGGGAAAGCAGCATCCCTTCCTTCCGCTAAGGAGAAGGCTGCCCTCAGTCTTTGGCGGCCTTCCTGAGCAGGTGACTGGGTGATGGGTTTGCTCTCGGAAGAGTGTGTCCTGGGAGGTTTTGTGCTTAGTTTGGTGTCTGGTGTGCTTTTCACATTTGAGGGCTAGTGCCTTTGTGCCTGGAGGGGAGATGCCATTATCACTCCAAATCTCCCCCCTCCCTCCTCCAGCCGGTGTCCTGGGAACATCTCCCAAAGTGTGTGTGGTTTCAGAGACTATTTTTTATTTGGGATTTTGGTTAGTTCTTTTCATGTAACTCCCGCTCTAATTCACATATCCTTGTTTCTGTTTATGGATGTACTGTTTGTTTTAACTGTTGCTGTTCTTTCCCTTGTCTTTCTGGAAATCTTGTGTTATAGGCCTTTCTGGCTCAGTCTTTTCCTTCCTTCAGGAGTGCACTCCGGCTGAGTCTGTGGGTTGTCCTTTGTGGTTTTGGTTTCCCTTCTGGGCTTCGGAGTGTTTCGTTGATGCGAGTGCATCTAATGAATGAAGTATAACTCCCTCCTCATGGGGCTCACTTAAGCTCTCGGGAGCAGTATGGGTGCCTGCCCCTCTGCCCGGGACCGTCATGAGGGTGATGTGAGCTGCTGTAACAAACAAGCCCAAGGTTTCAGTACCTGAAAACGCTAGAACTTTATTCTGAGTCAGTGGTGGGGAGGCCTGGCGACACAGCTTCTCAGATGGCCCTGGGCAGGCGCATCCGGAGAACGGAATCGGGAAAACGTGGAGGGTCCCTGGTGCGGGGTGGCACATCTCTAGAAGTTGCAGGCGTCGCTTCTGCTTCCCCTCTGACCATTGGAATTTGGGCACATGGTCCCCTTTACTGTATTTTACGCCACCTCTGTGCCCTGAAATTCTTTTGTGTGTGTGTTTGGTGAGTGGTTAGTCATTGCTGCAGGGAGAACCCATACTGTGAGACCCGGGGTCATCTCACTGAGGGCGTGGAGAGGACTTGCTTATAGGATTGGGGCCTGTGGGGCTCATTCGAGGGAGGGTTTTAGGAGGTTGACTTAGCTCTTGATCCAGTGCCCTCAGGAAGGGGGGTGACCCTGACCGGCATCCTAAAGCTGCTCTCTAGGGAGGGGGGACCAGGAGGCTGAAGCCGAGGTGGTAAAGCAGCAATGGTCACTCATGTTGACCAGGACAGGGGAGCATTGTGGTCCCTTATAGTCTGTGCCCAGACAGGACTACCCATTGCGCTCATGGAGTGGCCTTGCCTGATGCTTATGCTCTGTAAAATTAATTACGTGCCACGTGATAACACCAGGGCCCAGCTGTGAGTGCCAGGCTAGCCCCTGCAGCGGGGGCAGCTCTTGTCTTTTCACAACCCAGAAAAACAAATAAAAAACCCATTACATGTTGGTTCTACATCAGTCTAGTCTTTATAGGCGTATATTTTTATTTTTTCATGATTATTATTTTTTAAAGGTTTTATTTATTTATTTGACAGAGAGCGAGAGAGGGAACACAAGCAGGGGGAGTGGGAGAGGGAGAAGCAGGCTTCCCGCTGAGCAGGGAGCCCGATGTGGGGCTCGATCCCAGGACCCTGGGATCACGACCTGAGCCAAAGGCAGACACTTAATGACTGAGCCACCCAGGCGCCCTTAGGCATACATTTTTAAAGAGAGGGGGCTCCTATCATGCTGTGTGGCTATTTACCCGTGTCAGCAAATGTTCCCGTCTGCAAGGATGTAGCCAGTCTTACGAATGCTTACAAATGTATCCTGTCGTACGTATGCTGGCCCCCTGGCACGTGCCATTTAAAGGCTGTGATGGGGCGCCTGGGTGGCTCAGTCATTAAGCGTCTGCCTTCGGCTCAGGTCATGATCCCAGGGTCCTGGGATCGAACCCCTCATTGGGCTCCCTGCTCAGCGGGAAGCCTGCCTCTCCCTCTCCCACTCCCCCTGCTTGTGTTCCTGTTCTTGCTGTCTCTGTCCCTGTCGAATAAATAAATAAAATCTTAAAAAAAAAAAGAATTCCTAGTAAAAAGAAATAATACAGGCTGTGATGGACATTTTGGGTTGCTGTCTGATGTATTGGGATTTATCTGCTAAGTGGAATTGCCGGTCAAGGGGCCAATCCCCTTCATCCATTCATTTTCATTCATTCATTTATCAGTACTTTCTGGGCTTGTGCCCCATGCCAGCTGTGTCCTCGGTGTTGGGGATTCAGCCAGAGGCTCCACCCCATGAGCTCACATTCTAGTCCAGGGAGAGAATGACGTCATAGGTCAGGTGGAGACACCTGGACGGGAAGGCACTGTCAGGAGGACAGAGCTAAGGCGGGGTAGTCCGGAAGGGGCCTGCGGGAGAGCCAGGGAGTGAGCTGCTGGCTGGCTGGGTGTGTCTTGGGTGGGAGGGAAGTGGGTCGGGCAGGCTCGGCCCCGTGGATGGAGAGCGGGCAGCAGGTGCAGACGGCAGCATGACCGCTGGGCCTTTGCAGAAATCCCCAGGAGAGAGGAGTGAAGGGCAGGCGGCGGAGCATGCCCATGTGTGCACACACATGCCCGCATACCCAGTTCCACTGCATTTCTCTTTCGTTCCTGCTGCCTGACATCTGTTTCTATGTTTATCGGCTTCTTGTATTTCTTGCCCCTTTTGTAAACTGCCTTGGAAGGGCTTCCGCTCCTTTTTCTCTTGGTCTTTCTCTCCTCCGGTGCACATGAAGTGGCCGGCGCCGCTCTGTCACGTGCTGTAACGACATCTTCCCTGTTTGCTTCTGAGTTCTGTGGCATTTCATTTCGTGTTTTACCATCCACCGTCGAATGCTTTAGTTTGTCCCATCCTTTGTGGTCTCTGCCCTTGCGAGGCTGGCATGTCTGCCAGGAAGCGAGGCCCCCAGCCGGGGCAGAGCTGGGGGTCACTGGGCCGCGATCACGAGCCAGGCGGCTCTTGGCAGGAAGATGACAGAGGTGCAGATCCTCCACTCGGAGGCTTCCTAATCTCTGCTCTGGGTTCTTTCCCCTCCATCAAAACTCCTTTAGGAAGCGGCTCGCTGCTGGTCGCCTGGAGGTGTGGAATGGGCAGCTGGACACCAGTGAGGACCCTCTGCTGGTACTTTCCTACCTGGATCCCATGTTTTAACTATTTGTGTCCACCAAGAAAACCCAAAATTTGCTAAGCGCTTGGAAGTTCTATTTTATTTTATTTTTATTTTTGTTTATTTTATTTTTTGAAGTTTTTATTTCTTTAAGTAATCTCTATACCCAATGTGGGGCTCAAACTCATGACCCTGAGATCAAGAGTTGCATGCTCTTCTGACTGAGCCAGGTGGGTGCCCTGAAGTCCTAGTTTATTTTATTTCTTTTCTTTTTCTTTTTTTTAAGATTTTATTTATTTATTTGAGAGAGAGAGTGCACAAGAGAGACCACAGGCAGGGGGAGCCGCAGAGGGAGAAACAGGCTCCCCACTGAGCAGGGAGCCCCACGCAGGCCTCAGTCCCATGACCCCAGGATCAAGAAGGTAGTTGAAGGTAGATGCCTAACCGACTAAGCCACCCAGGCACCCCTATTTATTTTATTTTCTTTTAAAATTTATTTATTTATTTATGTGAGAGAGAGAGAAAGAGAGAGAGAGTGAGTGAGAGTGTGTGGGGGGGGAGTAGGGGGAGGGGTCAGAGGGAGAGGGAAGCCAAGTTCCCGCTGAGCATGGAGCCCAATGTGGGGCTCCCAGGGGTTCTCGATTTCCTGACCGGGAGATCATGACCTGAGCCGTAACCAAGAGTCGGAGGCTTAACCCACTGTGCCACCCGGTGCCCCCCTGAAGTTCTGTTTTAAGTATGACCTGCATTATCTGCCTAGGGCTGCTGTAACGAGTAGCACAGACCAGGCAGCTTACACAGCAGGAATTGATTCTCTCCCAATTCTTGAGGCTGGAAGCCTGAAATCAGGGTGTGGGCAGGCTCATTTCCTTGTGAGGGCCAGGACGGGGAACATTCCAGACCTCTCCCCTTGGCTTGTGGATGGCCGTCCTCCCTCTGTGTCTCCATCCAAATGCCCCCTTCTTGTAAGGACACCAGTCATATGATATTGGGGCTCACCCTGCTGACCTCACTTTAATGGGGTGGCATCTGGGAAGACCCTACCTCCAAATGAGGTCATGTTCTGAGGTATTGGGGGTTAGGGTTTCGTCGTAAATGTGGGGGGTGGGAAGGGACACAGGTCAACCCATAACATAAAAACTAACAGCAATAGGGGCGCCTGGGTGGCTCAGTTGGTTAAGCCGCTGCCTTCGGCTCAGGCCATGATCCCAGGGTCCTGGGATCGAGCCCCACATCGGGCTCCCTGCTCATGCAGGAAGCCTGCTTCTCCCTCTGCCTGCCGCTCCCCCTGCTTGTGCTCTCTCCCTCCCTCTCTCTCTCTCTCGCTCGCTCTCTCTGTGTGTCAAATAAATAAATAAAATCTTAAAAAAAAAAACTAACAGCAATAAAAATAAATGTCAAAAAAAAATGTCAATAACGAGCCCCCCAGTGGGCGTTGTGCAGTGTGCTGGCCCTGTGCGCAGCGCTGTCCCTATATCTTGGAGGCCTCAGGGACCCCTGCTGGGGACCCCTTCCCAGGGAGGTGGCATGTGACCAGGGGATGAAGTGAGCTCGTTGAATGTCGGCATCGGCGCAGTGGGCGGGAGGGGGGCAAAGACCCTCCTCGGGCCCCTAAACCTGGGTGTGGAAGGACCAGTGTCCTGACATCATGCCTCCATGTGGTGGGTGAGGCACAGGGATGCTCATCTCTGTGCGGTTTTGCCCCTGCCTCCCACCCAGGGATTATTTGGTGACGTCTGGAAACCATTTTCTTTGTGACAACTTAGGGAGGGGGGTATTTACTGGCCGAGAGCCCCTTGCAGGATGGGAGCTGCATTTCTGTGACCCGCAGTGGGTGTGCGAACATGCCAGAGTTGGGGTGGGCGGGGTGGGGGTGCTTCTGTGCTCGGGCCTGGCCAGCCCTACGGAGGGTAGTCGGGTTCGGCTGCTGCTGAACCCTGCTCGAATTGCTCTTCGTTTTCCTAGCCACCTTCACGGACCTTGTCTTGCTAACTGTCCAGGTCTCCGTAAACTTACACCTCAATAAATGGGCCAAGCCAGGCTTGAACGGCTTGGGGAGAGACCCACTGCCCCAAGACAAGAACGTGCCTGTTCACACAACCCAAAGACCAATTCACATAGACAAACGCAGTCCACTGGAAGCAGTATGATTGAGCAGTGAAAACTCACAAAGGCTCTGTAGAAGTAGCATCCTCACCCTGGGCCACTTAGAATGACAGCTGATTGACCAAGTAAACGCAGGGCCTGCTGTGTCGTCCTGCTCTGTAACTGGCTGGCAGAGCCCCGACCCCTCTCGAGGAATCAGAGGGCATATCATCTGTTCACTATTTGAGTGCCTCGGATCTGTGAGCAACACCGGGGGCGTTCCTTGCCATTTCTTGGGCTCAGAAACATTAAGTCCTTGCCAAGGTCACACAGTCATGGGTCCAACCAGAGCATGGTTCAACGCAGGCAGCCCTCTGGCCCGAGCTTTTGGCCACCGCGGTATTAGATCACCTCCAGCTGGGTTGCATCATCTAGTGAGGGGTCCGATGTGCTCGGGCCTGGAGTGCACCTGTTCTGTGTGGAAAGCCAGCGATGGTTAGGGGACAAGGGCGGTTGTGGGTGTGCATGGCCGTGCAAAGTAGGGTGAGCACAGAGACACTGGTCTCCTGGCCTTGGGCGCTGGCAAGAGGGCTGGGGTCACCCTGTTCTCTTGCTCCACACTGATGGGTGGCAGTGTCTCTGTGGCTCCCGGAAGCTGCTGCTCTGGGTGGAAGCTCACTGACGTTCCCCCCCCCACACCCCTGCCCCCCTCCAGTTCCCAGACATCGTGGAGTTCAGCGAGACTATGGCCAACGCTGGGAAGACTGTGATTGTGGCCGCACTGGACGGGACCTTCCAGAGGAAGGTGAGGCGTCTGATACAGGCTGTGGAGAGGGGAGTCTGGAGGGAGGGAAGGGCCGGGAAGAACAGTGGTAGCCCCGTGAGCCTCTTCTCTCAATGCAGCGCTACCTGGATGCCCCGGGCTTGACACTTGGGGGCACTTTGAGCCGGGCCATGTCCTAGCCTGGGCACTCAGATGAGCCAGACCCAGCTCCCTGGCTTGCCTGGGAGTCCATCCAGGGGTTCCGAGGAAAAACCACCGGGCCAGGTAGATGTGCTCACCTGCTGTCTTTCCCTGGGAGTGTAGGCATTCGGGACCATCCTGAACCTGGTGCCCCTGGCAGAGAGCGTGGTGAAGCTGACAGCGGTGTGCATGGAGTGCTTCCGGGAGGCCGCCTACACCAAGCGGCTAGGCTCGGAGAAAGAGGTAGCCCCCACCTGCCTGCTCCGGGGCGGGGGGCGGGGTGAGGCCCGGAGGCGCTGTGCCCCCTCTCAGTCCGGGCCCTTTGCGTCCCGTGGCCAGGTCGAGGTGATTGGAGGAGCAGACAAATACCACTCCGTGTGCCGCCTCTGCTACTTCAAGAAGGCCTCGGGTCTGCCCGCCGCACCGGACGGCAAGGAGAACAAGGAGAACTGCCCGGTGCCGGTGCCAGGAAAGCCAGGAGAGGCGGCGGGAGCCCGGAAGCTGTTTGCTTCCCATCAGATCCGGCAGTGCAGCCCCGCCAACTGAGGCTCCCTGTCCCGCGGCCGCCCACTGCCGGCCCCCCGCGCAGCCTTCCGCCACGAGGAAGTGGGGGTGGGGCGAAGACGGGACTTTGTGCCTCCCGCGGTGCAGGTCCTGGGCTGGTGGTCTGCACATCCCGTTTCCCCCTTTCCTGGTTCCCTTCCCGGCTGCTGGTCCACTCGTGAGCTCAGGGCCTGGCTACCGCAGTGACCAACCCCCGCCTGTGGGGTGAGGGGCAGAACCACACACTGGCGACATCGGGGCCCATGGCCTCTTCCCCCTTGTGGCTTTCGCTGTTGAGTTTCTGTTCTCACTGGGAAGTCCGTGCGCCGGTACCTCCGGCTCAGACCGAGCCTCGGCCCACGCAGAGGTTTCTGTCTCTGCTTGGGACTGACTCCCGGCCCCCAAGGGTGGCTGGACTGGTGCCCTCCTGCTTCCTACACTCCGGTGATCATTTTCTCCAGAACTGCAGCTTTTCTCACATGGGAGACACTTACCCTGCTGGGGCTCAGGTCCCAGGGACTTAATCTTTTAAAGTGTGTGTGTGTGTGTGTGTGGAGGGGGGGGTGTTAGGGGCAGAGGTGGCTAGGGTTAGGGTCTATGATTCTGTTGTAGCTTGTGAATTAGTAACTAATATTAAAATTTACTGGTTGGTGAAAGCACATTTGTCTTTTTTTTTTATTTGGTAAGATGTTATTTTTGAGAGAGAGCACAAGCGGGAGGAGGGGCAGAGGGAGAGGCACAAGCAGATTCCCCGGCTGAGCGGGGAGCCTGATCCCAGGGGCACTGAGATATGACCTGAGCAGAAGTCCGACACTTAACTGAGCCACCCAGGTGCCCCGAAAGCACACTTGTCTTTAACAGCCTGGGATGCCCTGGGTCTCACTGTAGACAGCTCTGATGTGACACGGGTGGGGCTTTCTTTCCAGATCTTCTTCTAGCACTACTAGTCTCAGCCACACCACTTTCACTGAGAAGCGACCATGAAGCGCGTCCTAGGAGGAACATTTGCTTACTCTGTCTGGATGGGTTTCAGGACAAAATGGGTGGATGGAGGAGCCTGGGGCCCAGGAGGGAAAGACAAGGCTCTGGTCAGGTCTGCCAGCTGGGGCTGTGGGGTCAGGTTTTGTTTGTGAAATAGACACTTGATAGCTCAGGAGCCCAGAAGACTAGCTCAGCTGTACCTTGTAAAATGGGCTGTCAGCGGCTTGCGTGGAAGCAAGGATCCGCTGGGGAGGGCGAGCCCCCATCCCCCACACTGGTGCAGATGGGATCAGGGTTCTGGGGTGGCCTCCCTGCCCTGGCTTGCCTCTCCCCTTTGTTCTACTCCAGCTTGCTGGTGACTGGTCCCGAGTCATAGGTGGCCACCGAACCGTATTGGTTGCTACTCAGGATTTTCAAACCAACAGGCCCACTTTTGACAGTCCCTGCTCCAAAAGGGAAATGTGCTTCGGGCGCCCCGGCCCCTCCTGCCAGAGATGGGCTCACTCCCTCTGAGCGGGCCGTCCTAGGATGGGCTCCAGAGGTGCGAACCCCTGTCTGCAGGCAGGAAGTGGAGGACTAGGCGTCGCCAGGGGACTCCTCACTCTGCTAGGAGGGGTTGGGAAGGAAAGGGTTACCAGGGAAGGGGCATTCAGTGGGGCAGCTCCCTGGTGCCCCCACCCCAACTCTAGCAAGGGCACAGCAAGGTCCTGGCAAGGCAGTCCAGAGAAACTGTCTTGTTTACAAGCTGAGCACAGTTGCTATTTTAAGATGCTGATGGACGGCAGCGTGAGGCATGAGACCCCAGACTAGGGAGTGTGTGCGCATGCGTGCGTTAGGCATCCCAAAGACGCAGCCTGCCGGGACTATTCAAAACCAAGTTCATAAAGCACCCCCCTCCCAGGGTGCACCCCAGAGTGGAATTTCTCTTCGACCCCTAGGCTAAGGCCCAACGAATGACAATGGAGATTATGAACGAGAAAAACATTTATTCTGTCTTGGAATCCGTCTACTAGAACCAGGGATCTGTGCATCTTACCCGCAACGCTTCTTAATACATTCAGCACAGCCTGGGGGCTGTGGGAGCACCCCACACCGAACAGTGGCAGAATATTTACATAAAGCTGGGCGTTTCTGGTCAGGCAAAGCCCCTCCCTGTTGCCAAGGGGTGTGAACAAGGAGAAGGGAGTGCTACCCTGTGCCCCCTGTGGCAAGCATCCTTCCAGGGCCCCCCCTCCTCCCGCACACCACCGCTGCCAGGGGACCAGCCCAGAGGCACAAGCGCAGGGTAGGGACCCCAGGTCCAAGAGCGAGCAGACAGGATAGCGGTGAGCACTGGGCTGCCAGCTCCCAGAGCAGGTAGGGGGCTGTGGGCACGACAGCGCCAGGAGGTGGGAAACAAACCTGAGTGAGCAGGAAAGGGGGCCCCCGCCCAGCACCAGCAGCAGAGCAGGTGGAAGGCTCGCAGCCTCATCTTTGGCACAGAACCCCAAGTAACTGCGGCCACTACAGCCTGGACCCGAGCCTGGCTCCTTTGGGCTGGGGAGAAGCTAAGGCACTTGTCCCAAAACAGCATGTCGGGCAGGTCTAGCTATTTCAGGTGGGGGTGGGATCATTAAAAGCAAAAACAAAACGCATCTGGCCAAAAACCCTTTTCTAGAAAATGCCCTTGAGGAGTGGTGGGTGAAGCCCTTGGGGCAGAGGCACTTCGGGCTGGGGCCCCCACCAGCAGCTGGGGTGGGGGAAGCAGTGGCTCTCCAGGCTGTGCCGAGGCTCCGATGGGCACGGGACGGAAGGAGGGGCCACAGCTCCAGGAGGCAAGGCTCATGGGAGGAGTCCTGGATAGGGGGGAGGCCCGCTGAGCACCCTCTCTGCCTCCCTTACCATCCCCCGCTGCGGCTCAGTACACGGGGGGCGGCTGGTAGCCCTCAGTGGTCTCGGCGTTCTGGGTGAAGGGCGGTTGTTGGTAGTTGTCCACAGATGCACCAGGGTAGGAAGCGTAGGCTGTGCTGGGGTCTGGAGTGGGGTCTACATAGTTCTGAATGAAGTCGTCCACTCCGGCCTTGTAGCGCTGGTAGGCTAAGGAGGCCAGCACACCCTGCAGGGAGCCCCAGGTTTTGGGTTCGTCAGCCTCCCACCACCCTTCTCCAAAGATACTGCAACCCTTGTCCACCCCGGCCCACCTACCCAGGAGAAGATGGAGAAGAAGCTGAAGGTGATGGCTGCCCGGGCCGAGTCGGCCCCCACTAGCACATCTTCCTCCTTGGTGGCTGCCCACTGGCTGGTAAGGAAGCAGAAACCAACGAACCACAGGAAGGTCCAGAGAGCTGGGAAGGCCGGGAGGGCAAGGTCAGCTCCATGGAGGAGGCAGCGGCTGTTCGGGGACCCAGGAAGGGCTGCCTGTGGTGGTGGGGGTGCGGGGGAGGCCCTGGGCAAGGATCTCCCAGAAGCCTCCAGGAGTATAAAGGGCACTGATGCAGAAGCCAGGGTGGGGACCGGGGTGCCTGGCTCCAGAGCCCTGTGACCATCACTCAACGCCGGTGGGCTTCGGCAGACCGACAGAAATCCCTGTGCTGTGCAAACCTGTGTATCGAGTGGGGCCGCGGACCCCGGGCTGCTCCTGGCCCCTCCCAAGGTTGCTGAGGCCCTGCAATCCCAGAGCCCCAGGGCTTTGGGGAACACTGCCTGCTCCTATTCACCTCCCCAAATAGAATGGGGGCGCTGCTAGCAGGTACCTGAGAAGAGCAGGTCGCTGATAACCAGGTATTTGCGGTCCGTGACGTTGCTGATCTGGGGGAAATAGACATCAACCACGAGGAAGAAGGCTGAGGCCAGGAAGGCCAGCACCCCGATGGCGATGCCATAGCCGCACGCATCCTCGTTGTGGTTGAAAATGCAGTATTTCTGTTTGGACTGGTGGGTATTGCTGTAGCCCTCGCCGAAAATGCACGAGAACACGATCAAGGCAAAGACCTGAGGGGACAGGTGGGGAAGGGCTGAGTGGTCGACAGACAACCCCCAGGGGGACACACATGATGGGGACCCTGGGCTCTCCCACTGCTGCTGTTCCCCTTTGGGGGCTCAGGCGCCACGGCCCCTTCTGAACTTGGGGCGTGAGCTGATAAGTTGCCTCCTGGTGCAGGCTCCCCACTTCTCTCTACTCCCCTCTCCCAGGCCACCAGCAGATACCAGCACAGCTGCCACCAGCAGGGGCATGGCTGGGGATTCCTGGACTGGGGGCCGGTGGGGAATGGACGGGGATCTCCTGAGAGGGGACTGCCCCACCCCAGCTGCCTGCCGGGAGGGGTCATCGTGGTTCAGAAGGGATGGGCCACAAAGTCACAGAAACCCAGGCCTGGAGCCTCACCCCCAGATCACCTCCTGCCTCAGTCACCTCTATAGTGTCCAACCTCTGCCTGAACACCTGGGTGAGGGAGAAGTCCCGCGCTCCCCCGCCCTCAGGAAAGGCATGCCAGTGTGCTCTGAGCAGAAGCCCGTGCCCCCAGACTCCCACTTCTTGGTGCCCCCTCCAACTCTTTCCTGCTCCAGCCTGGCCTCCCCAGTTGGGCCAGCTGTCTTCCTACAAGGACTACTGGCCTCTTTGGTACCGTGACTCTCCCCTCTGAGGGAACCCCAGTCAGCTTCCTGCCCATAAGTGAGTCCTGTCTGCAGTGCCTGTCTGGAGCACCTCAGGCTAGTCTGACCGGCAGGCCCTGCGGACACAGTTCTGCACTCAGAACCCTGCAGGTCCTAGTTGGGGGTGCAAGGGGTTGTGCCAGCCAGAACTCTGGGAGGGGCTCCAGGCCCTTGGGAACAGCCTCAAGTCACCTCATCTCCTCCCTCAACTTCAAGGCCACCACCCCATGTCAGCAGATGCAGGGATGCAGGACAGTCTGGACACCTGGCTCTCACTGGGAGGGACCCAGGCCTCTCCCCTGCCCTGCCCGAACAAGGCCCTGTCAATAGGCTCTGGAGCTAGCAGTCACAAGCCCCACCCCCAGCTGGAGATGAAGCCTGAACTCCGGGATGCTGGGAGCAGTGTGCCAGGCCCCACTCCTGGCACAGCCATCCCAACACACGGGGCATCTGCCCCTTGGAACAGACCCCACAATCGGGCAGGGAGGGGGCACGGATGCCAGTGGGGCACCTCAGAAGGCTCCAGTCCCAGGAAGGCACAGCGTGGGCACTTCAGTCCCAGCCCTCTGCCTGCCCATCTCTAACACCTTGTCCAACTTTGGGAGCTGGTTGTCCAAGAGGCTGTGACCCCCCCCAGCCCCCCCCAACCTGGTGCTGGAGGGCTCCCCTACCTCACATCCTGGGGCACCTGATCTTGGGTGGGGAAGCAGACCCGCGGCCTGCTCCAGAGTGGAAGGGAGATGCCGTTTCAGGGGGCCATATTGCCCGGGTACCCCAGGCAGCTTGGGAAAGCCCCTTCCCGGCTAATTCCCCCAGCACGGAGTCTCAGGACGCCGGCCACCTGTCCTGGAGCGGCCCCAAGCTCCTCCTACCGCCAGCAGGGCGACAGGCCTGCTCCCCACGGCGCCTCCGGGCCACCCCAACCCGAGGCCGGCCGGTGGGGGGCAGCGGGGACCAGGGGAAGGTGGGGGAAGGTGGGGGATGCTGGGGCCCGTGGGTGGGAGCCGACCGGGCCCTGGTCATGGAGGGCGGCGGGGCCCGGGCCCTCTCGCCGGCCTCACGCGCGCCAGCCGCACCCTCCCGGCCTCGGCCGCCGCCACCTGTCGCGCTCGCAGACTCGCGGGAACCCCTCCCCGCCCGGGCCTGGCGGCCCAATCCGGTCCCCGGGCCCGGAGTCCCCGCCGGCTCACCAGGCACACGACTCGCGTCACCACCTGCGGCTGCGTCAGGAAGCGCCGCAGGTCGAAGGAGCCGCCCGCCTTGGCCGCGCCGTAGGCCCCGCTCTCCATGTCGCCTTCGCCACCGCCGCCGCCGCCGCCGTCGCGGACCGCCAAGGACTGAGCCACCGCCCCGCCCCGGCCCTGCCCCGCCCCCCGGGGCGTGGCCAAAGTGGCCCCAGGGACCGAGGGCAAAGTGCGGCCCGCCGCCACTGGCGAGCGGGGCCTGCGTTCCGGCAGGGAACAGCCGTCCAGCCCAGCTCGTGGTCCGGGCCGCGTGCCCCTGCTCCCAGAAAGGGGCCAGAGAGTGCTCAGGAAGAGAGGGAGGCGCGGAGGGCCCGCCCCTCTGCCCCACCCACACTTTGCCCCTGCCGTCCCGCCTTCTTCTCCGGGAAGCCCGTCCAATACCCAAGAGGCCAGTCAGTAGTCCTTGTAGGAAGACAGACTCACCTGCCCAGGACCCAGGCTCACAAGCACCCCCTCTTCTCCCCCCATTCCATGCAAAACCCCAGGCCACAGCCTGGACGCACTCCCTGACTGGCGCGTCACTCTTTGCTTCTCTCTGGAGCTAAGCCTGGGGTGGCGTCGTGGCCCACCCCCCCCCCGCCCCGCCCCCGCCAAATCTTTCCCGGCTGGACCAGGTCCCGAGTCTGTGTGACTTCAGACTTCCATGCCCAAGATGGTGTGCGTACAGAAACAAAGTTTCCAGGGTGACAGGCAGAGGACAGGGTTTAATCCAATTCTCCTCCCCCAACACACCCCGAAATGGTTTAGAGCTTCTGAACAGAGAAGGCTGAGTGGGAGTGAGGTGGGGGGTGCGTTCTCTAGGGACCACCAGCGGACAGGCAGGGAAAAACTCCGGACGCTTTTTGCTAGTTGCAGGTGAGGATTAATGAGGGGGTGCTGGCCAGGGGAGGGCTGAGTTCTCCCAGGTGAGCTGGACAGTGACAGGTGAGTAGGTGGGGCCAGAGGACTGGGCCACCAGGAGATGGGGGTACCACTCCTGGGAAGAGGGGAACAGCTGTGGGGGCGGTGGGTTGGTGCAGATGGGCCTTTTCACAATGTACCCCACTTTCTCCCCAGACCTGCATGGATGGTGACAAGCAGCTGAGGGGTGAGGACAGGGGACACACAGAGCCCCCCCTTCCTATGGACCTCCCCTTCCATCACAGCCCACCCCATCCTAAAATCCTCAGCCTAACACCATGTGCCTTCACGGAAGAGCACCGGGCTCCAAGAATCCGGGCTGGCAGGTTTTTCTTCATGCAAATGGCGGGTCCTTTCTGTAGTGGACAAAGACCAGGGCCCTCCTGAGAGGACTCTGCCAAGCCTGCCTCTTCTGGTCACAGCCTTGATGACAAAGGAGTTAAGAGTCCGGGTTAGGCACACACACATCTCAGCCACCCCTCCCAAGGCCTCTGGGAGTTTTATGGTGCCAAGTGCATCAGCGCCCTGGGCAGCAGAAGGGGTGTAAGGCTTAGTCACCCCACTAAATGAAGGGGGAGGGAACTGGATCACCGAGAGGACAAGCACGGGCCCCTGGTCACATGGCGAGTGAGAACCTGTCTCTATATCCCATTTTATAGAAGGGAACACAGAGGCTCAGAGAGGTGACACAGGTCTCCCACGAGTCTGGCCTCTGGAAGGGACAGAGATGGGAGGGGGGACCCAGAGGTGAGACAAGAGGAGTACCAAGGACAGACAATGGCCACTGAGAAGCCTGGCCAGGGAGGGAGGAAGGCAACCAGGAGATGGCAGTATCTTAGAGGCCCAAGGAGGTAAGAAGTTCACGGGGCACAGGTGACGGCTGCCAAAGGCCAGACAGGTGGAGCACACTGACGCCTGCGGGGCAAGGGGATGGATGACACAAAGGCCCTGGTCACTTTACAGGTCAGTGGAGTGGGGACCCTAGGAGGTCTGGCCCTGCCTCTTGTCACCAGCCAGGAAGCACCGGCCTGTGTGGTTGCCGTGGAGAGCAGAAGCCCCTGATCCACCCTGGTCCCCCCGGGGGGCATCATCCCTACTCCTGGCGTCCCTCCTCCGACCCCTCAGGAAGACAGGCGAATATGCCCCATCCAGAGGCCGGGGGACTCCATCACGGGCCTGCTGGGAGTGTTGGTCTGGGTCAGATCAAGCCAGGCTGTGCAAGCCCTCAGCAGGCACTTGGCACCCAGTACGCCCTTCGTGAACTGTTGCAAGTCATGCATGATCCATGTGGCCCTTTGTCTGCCCTGGCAGCAGCCCCGTCCTACAGACCCACCACCCGCTGCCTCCAGCCGGGCTCCTGGGGGCCCATACAGGCCACCCACCGTCCTCACGGTCCCCACATCCTGCACCCATCTCCTACCTGGTCCACAAGGCCCGGCCCAGCAACCAAGAGGTGACAGCGGCAATGGAGGTGAGGCTGCCAGCCAGCGCCGCGATGGCCCCCTGGGGCGGCTGTCCTGCGAGGGAGGGGGGTGGCTGAGCTGGCCCCCCCGTCTCAGCACCCTTCCCTGCTCTTGGCCAGGGCGAGGCGGAGCTCTCCCACCTCCCACTGCTGCCCGTCCGGGAACCAAGGGGCCCTCTCACCGGGGGGCACCAGCTTGAAGGGGCTGGACTGGACACTGAGGTCATTTTCAGCCTGGCACTGGAGCCAGGTGGACGTGTTGGGAAGGGCGAAGGAGAAGTCGGCAGGCTGCCCATAGCTTGGTCTCTGCTGCATGTGGACGGACCCGTCCTTCCCCACCAGGCTGTAGGTGATGGGTGGGCTGCCCGAGGGCGCCCGGCAGGAAATCTCTACGCTGGGGCCGGATCCTCTGTCCAGCAAGGTGAAGGTAGCCTGCAACTGGGACACGGGCTCTGGGAGGGTGGACGAGGTTAGCACAGGTGTGGCTCAGTGACTTTCACAACCTCTCCCAAGCAAATTCCCTTGTTACCAAATGCCTACTGAGCCTGGAGGCCTAACTGTTATGGCTCCCGCCTCCAAGCAGCCTTTCGGATTACCCCCTCTGTCTTGTGTCTGAGCTTCTATTCTACTTGCAGTGGGTACTACACAATTTCACATTTGGTATATTCTGGGTTGTCAGACTTACCAAATAAAAATACATACAGGATGCCCAGTTAAATTTGAATTTCAGGTAAATAATGACTATGTCCTGTGCAAAATTTATCTGGCAACCCTATTTATATTCTTTCAGTCTTGGCTCTTTTACTGGAATAGTTCCTTCAGAACAAGAACTGTCACAAGATTCTAGATTCTAGAATCCCCCGGGGCCTTCAGCCTAATGCTGTAAATAGCCTTACGGATGAGTAACAACCACCGCCCCTTGTGGCATACTGACCACCTACTAGAAGCTTCCACTGACTCCTTCCTGCCCTCCAGGGGTAGGAACTATTACTATTTTTGTTTTGCAGATGAAGCAACCAGGCCCGCAGAGGTTGAGTGACTTGCCCAGGACCCACAGCCTCTAAGTGTTGAGACTTGCACCCTGACCATAGGGCTCCAGATCCTGGGCCCTCCTTCACTAGGCTGGCTCCTCTCAGGGGCGGAGTCAGGGGGCCAGGGGCCCACCACTGGCCTGGGCAACATCCTCCAGCTCCCCTCCCCCCAACCACACCCCGTGCCTCCCACCAGGAAGGACACCTGAATTAAGATCAGAGAAGAAGTGGGAAGAAGACAGGTTTTGGAGCTGGGGCGACATTCTTAATCACCAAGGCTTTATATAGGCCAGGAACCACAAACCCCACCCTCCAGGTGCAGTGAAGATTCAACTAGATAAAGCACAAAAAGTGCCTACTTTATCAGAATGAGGCCAGAGCTCAACTGATGGGGCCCAGGCCCTGGTCACTTCCGCCCACCCCAAAGGTCCCTGCCAGGAGATGGTGCCCTGGGGCCCGGCCAGGAGCTACACTGTTCTGGGCGCAGGCCTAAGGGACCCAGAGTGGCTTTGGAGGTGAGCAACCTGTCCAGTCCCCAGCCTCCTGCCTTCTAGCCCAGACCCTGCCCTTCCTCCAGCCCCCAGCGTGCACTCACTGGTCCATAGCTCCCAGTACATCTGCAGCTTGGTGCTGGCTGAGTGCTCGCCCCAGGGGGAGGCCGCCTTGCAGGAGTAAGTGAGCAGGTCTGGCCTGGACTTGAGTGTGATGTTGATGCTGAAGGAGGCCGGGTCTCCGGTCTTCACCACCTTCTTGGCGACCTCGGTGCCCTGACTCCCCCAGAGGGAGTAGGTGATGGGCGGGCGTGCCTGGGGTGAGTGGCACGTTATGGCCACCCTGCGGCCTCTGGGGAAAACCTCCAGGACTTTGTAGGTAATGAAGGTCTCAGGGGTGACTTCTGGCAGGTGAAAGGGTCCAAGGGGGAAGAAGGAAACCAATATTGATCAAGCACCTTAAGAAAATGCCGGTTTTGCGGTTCCTCAAAAAGTTAAAAAATTATCATATGACCTAGCAAATCCCACTTCTGGATATCTACCAAAAGAATTGAAAACAGGGACTCTAACGGCTATGTGTGCACCCAGGCTCACAGCAGAACTATTCACGCTAGCCAGAAGGTGGAAGTAGCCCACGCGGCCATCTGTGGATGAATGGATAAGTCAAACCTGGCCTGGCCACATGATGGAATAATCCTCACCCATAAAAAGGAATGAAGTTCTGATCCATGCTATAGCGCGGACGAGCCTGAGAAACATCACGTCGAGTGAGGTAAGTCAGACACAGAAGGTGAACTATCTTCGATTCCATTCACATGAAATGTCCCGAATAGGAACATCCCGAAACAGAAAGCAGATTGCCAGTTGGCAGGGGCTGGGGGAGGGGCAGATGGGGAGTGAATGCTTGTGGGTTGGGGCTTTCCTTTCAGGGTGATGGGAATGTTTTGGAACTAAATAGGGTGATGGTTGCACAACACTGTGAAGGCACTAAACGCTACTGAATCGTCACTTTAAAATGGTTAATTTTGTGTTATATGAATTTCACCCCAATTTTGAAAAGGAAGGAAGGAAAGAAGGAAGGAGGGAAGGAAGGAAGGAAGGAAGGAGGGAGGGAGGGAGGAAGGGAGGGAAGGAAGGAAGGAAGGAAGGAAGGCAGGCAGGCAGGCAGGCGGGCAGGCAGGCAGGAAGGCAGGCAGGCCTCCGGGATAAAAGTCTATCTCTGGGGTTTAGATTCTTTTTGCCCAGAATATTTTCCTACAAAAATAAAATGAAATTAGGACATGAGTAGGAAGCACGGAGAAGTTTGGGACACAGGTCAGGAGAGCCAACACTGAATTCAACTTCTAGATTCAATGAGCTGGTCGACTGTAAGTGGCAGGGGACAGGTGCTAGAGTCCTTCTTGCACATCACCATAGCCCTGGCCCAAGGCAGGAGACCCGAAATCTACTGTTTGTTGGCTGAATGACTCCCTCCCATGAGAAGGCAGTTCCTTGGTTGCACACTGAACTAGTACCAGAGGCCTCCTGCTCAGTGCCAAACCCAGCAGGGGACCTGGGAGGCAGGGGAGCTGGCCAGGCTCCAGAGAGGTCAACATCTGGTTTAAAGGGACAGTCAGAAGGAGAGGGTAGAGGGTAGGACCCAGATCAACAGGGTTGAGCTGAGCCAGAGAGAAAGAGGCCACTTGGGAAAGCAGGATTTCCAGAGAGCAGGGAGGCCCTCAAAGGAGACTGGGTGCTTCCAGCACCTGGGGGATGCAGGACCAGATGCTGGAGCACCTGGGGGATGCAGGACCAGACCCACTCTCCAGCGGCACCCTGCATTCTTCCATCAAGTGCCTCTCTGCTTGGAAGTAACTAACGGCTCTGTTTTGCAGGCGGATCCTGGAGTTGATTTGATGCAGAAGACATTTCTAAGAGCTTCCTACTGGCCCTCTTGCGGCCCATGCTGAATTCTTCCAGACAGGGGTTGGGTGGAAACAAAGCTGCCCCTCAATGGGGGTTTGGGAGGGAGGCTGCATTGTGGGCAACATTCTGTGCCTGTTCAAGGAGAGTGTGTAGGGGCAGCGCTTGGGGGGCATAGAGGAAAGCGTTGACGAAATCAAAGTATCATGTGCCTCATACATCATCCTTGCCCTGCTGGGTGGGCACACTGGCTCTGGAAACCACACTGCCATCAGAAAACTGCTCACGGAGCAGAGAACTGGAACCAACTAGAATGTGCTTCCTTCAGAGACATTTCCTAGGAATCCTAAAGGTTCTGACCACTAAGCATATTTCTTTCTAGACCAGTGGTTCTTGGCCAGGGGTGGTTTTGGTTTTGCTTCCAAGGGACCTTTGTGTCTGGAAGCATTTTTGGTTGCCATGAATGGGGGGTGCTCCTGGGATCTAGTAGGTAGAGGCCAGGGATGTCACTAAAACATCCAGTAACGCACAGGACTGCCCCATAACGGAATCGTCCAGTTCCGATGTCAAAAGTGTTGAGGTTGAGAAACCGTGGTCTTGACAACCATCAGCAGCCTTCCAGAATCAGATTTCTAGCCCTGCCCACGGCTGCACACACACTAACAAATGTTTCCTCATCTGTTCCTGTTTCTCAACGGCATGAGAACCCCCATAGTTTAGTACTTTTTTTTTTTTTTTTTTCCAAATAGGCTTTCACACAAAGTCTTGGATTTGAAGTAAGTAAAGCCCTACGGAGCGTCCAGTGTGGTCTCTGGGGCGCCATTCTGCACACTGCCACCAGTAATTTTGTGGATGCAACCTGGGGCCAAAGGGCCAGTTCCTCACTGCCCAGATGCTCTTGGGGCCCGAATCTCCCTCCACAGAGGAAATGGGGCTCAGGGTGTTAAATGTGATGACACTTTTCTTCACTCCCTTCACAGAGGGAAATGACTAACAAAAGTTAAAAGAAAAAGCTGGGCTGTTTTGGTTTCCATTTCGAGGGCCAATAATAAAAGCTTGATTTACATAAACTCACAGACCAGAGTCACTTCTGACTACACTAGGCCATAGGGCATTCACTTTATATTCTAACAAGACTGGTGTGGTCTTTGTTGATCGTCTAGTTTGTGCATTTAACCCAGCAATAATGAGAGGGCTGGCATTCAATTAAAAATTCATTAAGTGCATCAGAGCATTGGAGGATGGTACGGCACACTCAGTGTGATGAAGAGACAGGCCCACGCTCAGACCGGAAGCTGAGCCAAGCTGGGCTGGGCTGAATGCGTGGCTGTGCAGAGCCTCCTTCTGTCGCTAAGGAGAGAAGGAAGTCCCTTGGGGTGAATGCAGGGACCGCGGAGCTGCTGCCCCCACGGCTCAGAGGCCCTTCAGGATCGCCCCCGCCTGTCTCCAGGCTTGTGTCTGTGCTAACCAGAGGCTTAGAGATCTGAGTCCGAACCCTAGAGATCCAATGTATTAGACCTAAGGGGGTGGGGGGGCTTGTTCCGGGATCTGATTTTGAACAAGCAGCCCACGTGTTGAGGGTCAAATTATGTCTTCCAAAAAAGATATGGTCAAGCCCCATCACCCAGGTCCTGTGAATGGTGCCTTATTTGGAAATAGGGTCTTTACAGATGCACTCCAGGGATCCATGGTGGATTAGGGTGGCCCTACTACGAGGAGAGACAGAGACGCACACGCACGCAGGGAGAGGCCACATGAAGAGGCAGGCAGAGGTTGGAGGGATGCTGTCACCAACCATGAATGCCAAGGACTGCCAGGAGCCACCGGAAGCCAGGAGAGAGGAGGCCTGGGTCAGCATCTCCCTGCCGACACCCCCATCTCGGACCTCTAGCCTCCAGAACTAGGAGAGAATGACTCGTTGTTATTTTAAACCCCCCAGTGTGTGGTAATTCCTTACGGCAGTCCCAGGAAGTTACGACAGCACCCCCTCCAAGGGGTTCTTCTGAACATCGCTGAGAAACTCCACACAAGTTTTAGGAATACATGGAGGACAATCCATCGAGTTTCCTTTGCTCGCTGTCAGGAGGACGATGTAGTTTGAAACCGTGCTTCATCCGGATATCCCCCCTCTGAGCAAGAACACGGCAGCCCCACGGGATGCCCCAGGCCCGCAGGTCATCCTCTGTGCCCTGCCCCACCTCTTAGGAGGCTTTGCACATCCCCCGTCACCCCACCACCTCCCAACCTTCCCGACCCTGGCATCCTCCCACGGAGCCCTCAGGAACGTGGGCTCAGTTGGCACTCCGGCACCTCACCGACGCCTATGGGAACCAGCCTCCCCGCCCAGGGCAGGGCCTACCCCGTGGTTGTCTCAGATGATGGGTCCCCACAGCCTCCCCAGCACTGACCTAGGAGGACAGGGGTGGACATCCCCTTGGCATTTCTGGACTATTCTCCCTCCTTCCTCCCTAAACACCGGGCTTGAACCTTGTGTCTTCAGACGTATTCTACCCTGCTCCCCTGGGTTAGTTACCTAGAAACACCCACCATTCCTTGAAGATTCCTGCCCCCCATTCCTATCACTCTCAATACCACGCCGGCCACGATGCCTGGGGATTTCAAAATACACAGAGATCATCTTTCCAACATCCTGGCTCTTCAGTTTCTCAACTTCCCATCTCTTGTGCCCTACTTCTTGCCCCCACGGGAGTGTTTAGCTGCATAATATTCCATGGTAAGGCTGCACTTTATTTGGTCAATCCTTTGAGTTGCTCAGGCCAAAAACTTTGGGATCATCTTCTCCGGCTCTGCCTTTCCCATCCCCTCGCCCCAGCACGCGCCGCTGGCCTGACCTTCAGCACATGTCTTGATCACTTCCCCCCGGGGGCTCTGGCTATCACCCGATCTCTCCTCTGGATCCCAGAAACAGCCTGATGGCTCCCTGGGATTCCACCCACGGTCCCCATCCCGTCTCTTAACACAGCAGCCTTGAAGGGCAAACCAGACCTTGGCTTCCATGAAAACCCCACCCTCTGTAGCGAAGTCCACCGAGCCCTCCCTACTCAACCCTCCTCTCCATCACGCTCTCCCCTCCCCCCTGCCTCCTGCAGTCGGCACTCAGGCCTCCCAGGCTCTACTGGCTCCTTTGTGTCCCTGCTCGGGTGTCCCCTTCTCAGGGACAATCTCCCAATACATGCTGACCCTTCCCCATCCCCCCGTGCTCCCTTCCACTCCTCCCTGCTTGCTTCTCTCTAGGACTTACTGGGTTCCAGCACACTGTGGAAGGTGCTTATTGTCCCTATCGTCTGTCATCTGCCCCCCACCCCCGCGGCCCCGCTGGAATGTAAGCTACGGGAAGGTGGGGATCTTTGTTTTTTTCTGCACCCTGTGGTTCCCTCTTGGGGCCTAGAACCGTGCCTGGCACCAAACAGGTGCTCCTACAGTCTCTTTTGAATGAATGAATGATTTCCCAGCTGGCCTCTCCGGAGTTTAGTTAACAAGGCTTGTTGGGCAAGAGTCTGAGCAGAAGTGAGGGGCGGAGGGGGGCCCACCAGCCCTGGCCAGGTACTTCCCGAAACGGGGACGCAAATGTCTGCCGCCTCCAGCCGCTCTCTTTTTAGCAGAAACACCAGGACTGACGTGTTTGTTTTTAAAGCAAATGAGGAAATGATAATTTTGCTTGTCCCGCATTCGAGCGAGACCCACCCTTCAGTGGAATAGAGACAGATGCCAGCTCTGTGACCCGGTGGCCCCAGCGAGGTGATGGTGGAGGCAGGTCAGGGGGGAACACCACCGCCCAGCCTGGTGGAGAGGAGGAGGTAGCCCACCACCCTGACCTTAAGGGTCACAGGGCTAGAAATGGGGGTGGGGGGAGAGCTGGAGAAGGGGGGGAGGAGGCAGGCATGGAGGAGGGACCAGGAGCGTCCCCTCCCCCTGGCTCTGTACCCACCCCCTGGTGGAGAAGGGGCCCGGCGCCCTCCAGCTGCCTCTGAGAGTAAGCCAGACTCCGTTTGCCGGACCTCTGGGGAAGCCAGGACTTCCTCCGCCCCAGTGCCCCCCCCCCCGGGTGCCCCCAGCCCTCACTGGAATCACACCCACCCGACAGATCTCCAGATCGGGCACCTGGGGTAGAGTGACTAGCATGTACCGGCCCAGGGACACGCTCTCGGCTCGCCTTCCCTCCCCCCACCGGAGCCCAGCTGGAAGCCAGCTCTCCCCTTGCCCCAAGTCCCCTGGAGGTCCCCCACTGGCCTGCCCACCTGCTCCTCTCCATGCCCTCCAGGGCCCTGCAGGGGTTGAGGCCAAGTTCCAGAACTGTGCATCTGTCCACCACCAGACACCCGCACACCATCAGCAACCTCCGCCAGCCACGGCACCCACCACGGCACCCACCGTCTCCCTCAAGCGTGCTGGGCTACTCACCTACCTCCTGCTGCGCGGAGAAGCCGCTGGTGCCTGGAAGCGGGTGTGTGTGTGTGTGTGTGTGTGTGTGAAGGGAGTAAGCAGGGAGCCCAGGGTGGAGGGGAGGCCGGAGACCACCCAGAGAGCCTCCTGCCAAGGACAGAAGGGAGGCCTAGGACTCAACAAGCGTCTTTGCTCACAGAAGCTCTTTTGAGGCCACAACATTCAGCATCATCAGCTCTTTTGTGGATGAGTAAATAGTGGGCCCAGCACAGTAAAGCAATCACTGGGCCTCATTGTGCAGTAGGGGCTGGTCTCAAGGCCACATCTCTCCCTCTCTGTCCTTGTGCTTCTGGAAGTGTCTGTGTGCCTCCAGGTCCCTCTCCTATGCTCCCTGGCCTCGCTGCACCCTCAGCCTGCTTCCCCCAGGCCCTGGCGGTGGTCCCCCTGCCCCCCAACAATGTCCCCATTAGCTCACCCAGCATGGCCAAGCAGAACAGCGGAAGGAGCCTCATGCCTCTGCTGGGGTAAAGGCCCTCTGCTCAGGCTTGCAAGAGCTCCCTCAGCAGGGCCACCTCCACTCTGGGGCCCCTGGGATGCTCCTAGGGTGTGTGCCTGCAGCAGGGAGATAACCCGGAGGCCATGGCACCCCATGGCCTCAGCAACCAGGGCTGGGCTCAGAACAGCTGGGCCCCCACACCCTCTGGGGGAATTAGGAGGCCCCTGGGCCTTGGAGCCAAACCAGGGCTTACACTCAGCCACCACCGCTGAGCTGTACTGGGTTTGTTTGGGAGGAAGATGCCCACGTCCTAACCCCTGGAATATGTATGTTACCTGGCAAGGGAGTGTTAAGGTTGCTGATCTTCTGATTTTGAGATAGGATCCTTATTCTGGACTGTTGGGATGGGCCTGTTATCATGAGGGTCCTTCCTAAACCCCCCAGGGGAGTCTGACATACACTCAGGAGACCTGCTGGGCTGGATCTGTTAGAGAAGCAGGCAGGAGAGGCCACCTCTGCCCATCTCACACTGGTTCATTAGTGACCACCTACTGGGCACCTGCTGGGTGGCTGGCACTGGGCTCAGCCCCCACATTAAAGCTCAGACCGGATGAGGCCCCTGGTCACCCCAGGAGCGTGATGCAGGGAGGGAAACTCAGAGAGGGGAGGGGTTTTGCTTGACGCCCATGGATAGGGGCCATTCCCCAGGATCTGAACCCAATTCCAGCTAGAGCAGAAGGAGGCCAGCCCACATCACGTATGGCGGCATGGCCTTTTCAGCAGTCTCCAGCAGAGCTTACTGGATCTGGGGAGAAGGAAGGGTGGAGGGAGCCAGGAGAGCTCTGAGAACACTAAGGCCAGCCGGGGGCGGGACCCCTCAGGGCTGGGGGCTCAGGGCAGCCTGGAGCCCAGAGAGAATGGAGGGAGCAGATGAGGTGTGGGCCAGGACCCAGCCAGCCCCACAGCCAACCCCTGGCACCTGCCTGCCCCAGGCAGCTGGGCTCCTCCCAAGCCAAGCCCAGGGCTACTGGACAGGTTCACTTAGCTTGTGCAGAAAACGCCCATTTGGGCTGCCTTCCTCAGGGAAGATGGCCCACCCCCAGGGATCCATTTGCTTCCACTGGGGCCTGTTCTCTCCTGCAGAGCTCCACAGGTGGACTACACACCCACCCCCTGCACAGCCCAGGAGTGAGCACCTGACCCAAGGAAGGCACAGTCTTGCCCTCGGGTACCCTTGGCCCTCCTCAGGGAAAGCTGCGGAGGCCCGGGAGGTCTGGGCATGGTGGGAAGCTGGTCTAGCAGATGACCTGCCCACCTGGGAGCGGCAGCAGGGATGATGGGGAGCGGGGAGGGGGGTAGCCGGAGCCTGGGGGCTGATGTCCCGGGGCTCACCTGGGGACTAGATTCATCAGTTGCCTTGGTGGTCCTCCATCTGCCCAGCAGGCAAGAATCAGCATCTGTCACTTGCCACCCTGAGTCCTGACTCACGCCCTGGGGTGTGCCCTATGGGCCCACCTGCCTCTGTGCATGTGGGGAGTGAGCATTCTCTCTGAGTTTCGTAGGCAAGTTCTCTTCCAAACAGTGTGTCCTCGCTCTGCTGAGGTGGTTGGGGGAAGGAACTGAAGGAACTGAGGACGGAAGAGCGACAGAGGGGTCGTCTAGCCTGCTGCCAATCCATCTCCATGCCTGTGGATCTTTTCCTCCATGTTGTGCTCAGGGGAAGAAGTTTGAGCTCGGGCAGCTCCTGAGAAGCCTTCTCCTTCCATCAGTGTATTTGGGGAGCAGGTCAGAGGAGAGCGTGGTGGGCCGACTCGAGAGATATGTCCCCCAGGCTTTCATGGGGGATACCCTCCCCAGCGACCACCTGTGTGCCATCAGACTGGAGTGTTTGCAGAGAAGGCTGGTTCTCCTCTGCATGCAGGAGAGGACTCATGAGGACCCAGGTCACCTAGATTGTATGAAGTCGGGGCCATAAGAAAGCCTCAGTGCCTCATGGCATGTGTCAGGACACTTGATAAGTAATTGCTCATTTAATCCTCACAGCCCCTCAGAGGAGGGTGGTGTCAGCCCCACGTTTCAGCCGAGCAAACAGGCCCAGAGTTTGATTTCCCCAAGCCTTCCCAAGCTTGTCTTCTCCCGGTGTTGCACTTGGCTGATTCTCAGTGAATGTCTGCCAAAGGCATGCGAAGCTGACCAGAAAAGGACCTTGGTGTCTGGTGCCGCCTTCTACTCCTCAGGCACCATCGGCAGGGCCCTTGGGGGCTCACCACAAGACAGCGCTGGGCCTTACCCTTACAGTTTCTGTGTCAGGAGCCCCGGTGGTGTGGGGGCTGCTGAGAATCTGCATTCCTGCCAAGCTGCCTGCTGATGCTACCGCTGCAGGTCGGGGCCACACGTTGGCCCTAAGCCGCTTGCTAACCGTATGTGTCACTTTCCCTGGGGACAGGCCGGTGGCCCCTGGCTGACTGAGCCCATGTACTTGTCGACAGACTGACGGGTCATGTGACACTGGGTGAGTGAGAGAGGACAGCCACAGGAGGGGCGGGACCAGCCAAGCCTTCAGGGCCCATGTGAAGGCCTGAGGGCATGAGGCCCAGCTGTGCCCAGGCTGGGAATCCTGCCAGGCGCCAGGCCCCTGGTGGAAGGAGAGGCTTTGCGAGCATGTCATGGGGGTTCTCCTGGCCCTCCCTCCCAACAGTTATTTAGGCCAGCGTTCTCAGCCCTGGCTGCCGGGGAGAGTCACCTGGCAGCTCTAGAGAGTCCCGATGCCTGGCTGCTGGTTGCACCTGGGCCGAGCACGTCAGCAGCCTCGGCACAGGGCCAGTGTTCTAAGGCTGAGAGCCACTGCAGAGGCAGGGGCCAGAGGCCCTGGGCTGCATCTCTGCTGGGCCTTCACGCCCTGCTGGCTCCACCCCCTTCCCAGGCCGACACTTGGTGTGTGTCTCAGCGCAGGTCTGTACATGCCCAGCAGCCTCCTGGGGCGCCTTCTTACCCACCGCTCTTAAAGGCTGGCTGAACACGGGCGGCGGGGGTGAGGGTGCACAGAAGAGGGCTGGCGACAGGCCTGCAGAAGGTGTGGCCAAGGGGCCTCTAACCCGGGGTCCTCGGGGGGCCCACTTTGTTGATGTGAGGTCCTGGGCTGGAACGGACCGTGAGGTGAGGCATCCTGCCAGGGAGAGGCTGGCCCTGGACCCACTGTTCCTCAGACTCAAGGAAGCCCTGGGGGTTCCGGGATCCGGGTCAGGAACGCGCCGGGCTGGAGCCGAGTTCAAGTGTCAGCTCTGCCGCTAGCCGACTCAAGCATTGCTTGTGGGGCTCACTGGTCTCACAGTGGAGAAGGGCAGCAGGAGGCTGTGGGGCCCCAAGTGCCCTCAGAGCACAGCAAGCCCCCAGCGCAGGTTTGCTCAACTGTGGCCAGGCCTTGCCCTTCCCGCAGATGTTGCAGCGATGCTCCCCACAGTGGGAGCCCTTCTGAACACCCCCCGTGGATGTGTATTTATAAATTGCATTCAGGGGTTACTCTACTCATATATTATGTACGTTATAAAACATTCAACAAAAATAGAAACTTTACAGGACTGAGGTAAAAATATAAATACAACTTCCCATATTTTCTTCCTGCCCCCCTGGGCTCTCCGGCGTCCTGCTGGAGGGCCCACTGAGAGCGGCGGTCACCAGGGGGCAGGAGCTTGGGGCCAGGGGCACTCTGGTGCGGGGCGGGGGTAGATCGGGTCCTGGGGAGGCTCCGGGAGGAGGCAGGGGTGGGTGCTACAGCTCTGAGCCGCTGGGGAAGCGGAATCTAGGGGCGGGGACCGGGGCACCGCCTGGCCTGGCGGGATCCTCGAGGCAAGGTTCCGGCCTGGGGGCCCTGGGGCCCGGGGAGCCCGGGCACGGGAATCCAGGGCAGAAGGACCGCGGGCGCGAAGCTCTGGAGTGAGGGGACTCGGGCCCCACGGAACCGCCGGAGCCCGGCGCCGGTAGCAGCCGCGACAGGTCCTCCACCAGGTGCCACTTCTCCTGGACTTGCTGTGGGGAGGGGGTGGGGAGGGAGCGACCGATTACGAGCGGCGCCTCCTCCCAAGAGCCGGCCGCAGCTCCGCGGTCCGCGGTCCGGGGTCCCCTGCCAGGCCCCCCTCCCGAGGCCCCGCCCCTAGTCCCGCCCAGCACAAGCCGCGCCCCCAACCGGAGGCCACGCCCCACATCGAGACCACGCCCCACCACGGTTCCGCCTCTAGTCAGTCGGCCCTCAGGTCCCGCCCCAGCTAAGCCAAAGACCACGCCCCTCCCACAAGAGTCCCGCCCCCAGAATAGGCCACGCCCCCGTCAGGGTTCCGGCCCCCCCGCCGGGTCCGAGACCACGCCCCCACCAGGGTCCTGCCCACGCCCGCCACCTAGAGTTCGAACGTCAGCTCTGCTGCTAAGTTGATGCGTGTGATGCGACCGCTGTAGCATCCTATCAACTACCAACCGTGTCCCAAGCCTAAGGCCCTACTCCTGTCACGTGGCTCCCAGCCTGAGGCCACACTCCAGGGCCAGGTCTGGCCCCTCCCCAGCCCAGCGGACACTCACCCACACCAGCTGCTTCCGGAGCCCCTGGATGGCCCTCGCATTGGCTTGGGACTGGGAGACGCAAACCGTGAGGACAAGGCTTTGGACAGACAGGGATCCAAGGTCAGTCATCCCTGGATGGCAGGCGCCTCCCCCTCCTTTCTCTCTCCCCACCTCAGTTTCTTCAAAATGCCTCCCGGGGTTCTTCTCTCTGCAGACCCCTTTATCTCTCCTCTCCTTCCTCCGCGGGCAGCCCCTCTCCTCCCCAGGGCAGGTTCTCAGTGTGTCTGCAGGAGGCGCTGTGTTTCCCCCTTGGTCATATATGGTACCTACTTTACAGGTGACATCCTGAGGGTGCTACCTAGGGCTACCTGTCTTTGGGCCCATGCTCCGTCCTCTGGGACCCTGCCTCCTGCCTGTCCTTGTCTGGCCCCCATGAGCTCCCATGAGACTGCCTGGGGGTGCCCATCGAGGGAAGGACCCGCTCCCAGGTGTGCCCTCCCTTGGCCCATGCTGCCCTGAGAGGCACCTGAGCAGGATGAGGAAGGGGAAGCTGAAGGCGTGGGAGCCGAGGTA